TTTGAGCTTCTTCTTTTTCTTCTTTCAATTTAACATGCAAAGAATATAAATATTTTAATTCGTGATCCATGATAGAAGAAGTGAATACACAAAATGTATACATCCTTTTATTTGGTCAATAAGGTGATACAAATTTCAAAAAAGAATTTTTGAAAATCTTCAATCATATCACATAAAGAATGATCATCACTTGTGTTATCCATTCAACACGTGTTTGTCTAAATCATCATCATATCCATTATCAATCCAGAACATAATGGAAGTTTTGATTTTATTAGTTGTAAAATTAGAACCGAAATTTTTATGGTATGCGTAAATGTAGATCACAGAAATCAATCTAAAGGAAAAAAAATTTATATATTTATTTATGACCATTACTGTTTCATTCTCATGCTACTGCTACTTCTACTGCTGCTTTTACTATTAATGCTATCATCTCTGCTTTTGATGTATTTATGTTTAAAAGTTAAACCAATTTCATAGAAAATGATATTATCCATTATATTATATGTATACTAACTATATAAATAAATAAACCAATGTAGTGGAATTGAGCTATGGTAATGCCATGGGTCATTAGGCCTGGTTCGCCATCTCCATTCAAGGTGGCGGTTTTGGTTTTTCAGTCAATGATGATATGTTATCATTGATTACGAGAAGAAAATTTAGTACATTTAGGAAAAGTGAAGATTTCAATGATTATGGTGTTGATTAAATAGCAAGTTAATGAAATGATCAAATAATTCTATATAGAAAAAAACTACAGATTGATAAAATATATATTATTAATATAAAGAGTAATAATTACAATGGTTCAAAGTAGTTTGCAGGGGTGATTGCTCATCAATGATTCTAAATAATGATTAACTCTTAAAGAAATAAAATTAGTCTTTGACGTTTTCACCCCTGAAATATCTCTTTGTGACGTTATGTTCACTTTGTCTGGTTTTGTTTTGTGTTCTTTTTATATTAGCACAACGAAGAAGAAATCGGATAGATAGCCTTGATGGTAATAAAAAAAGGCCTACATAGAATGCTTACCTTCGCAAATGACTTTATGATTTTTTTGGAGATAAAAAAATTAATAGGTGAACCTTTGATTTATCAGGAATGTATTTTTTTAATTAATCAATCTTTAATTTTTTTATCGTCTTTGACTTCTCTTTTCTCTAAAATTTTATCAATCAAACCAAATCCCAATGCTTCTTCTGCAGTCATAAAATAGTCTCTTTCAACTGCCTTTTCTGAAAACAACAAAAATATATTATTATATAGTTTCAGCTTTATTTCTAAAATCATCATCATCATCGTGTATATTCATACCAATTTCTTCCAATGAATGTTTTTTTGTATGTTTTTTATAAATATTATTTAATTTTTCACGTACTCTTAAGATTTCTTTTGCATGAATAGCAATATCAGTTGCTTGACCAGATGTGCCACCAATGGGTTGATGCATCATTATAGATGAATTTGGCAATGAGTATCGTTTACCCGGCTCGCCTTTTATCATCATCATCATTATTATTGTGTTCGAATTCGTTGATATTATCATTAGATTCTTATTAATTAAAAACATTACCTGCTGCTAGAAGTAATGATCCCATTGAACATGCTTGACCATTACAAAGAGTGGATACTGGTGATTTAATATACTATTAATTATTATTAATAATTATTATGATTGTTAGTTTTTAGATTAAAATAGCTTTATAATTTTTTTTAGAAATCTCTATCTTCATACCTGCATCTTTTTTTCAAATAATATATATAATATATATAATAATAAATTTTTTTAATTATTATTATATTAATCGATATTAATAATAATAACTTATCAGCTTCTTACGGTATCATAAATTGCCATTCCAGCTGTTACACTTCCACCGGGACTATTAATGTATAAACTTATAGGTTTATCAGGATTTTCTGCTTCGAGGAATAACAATTGAGCAACTATCACTGCTGCTACACTATCTTCTACCTAATCATATAATGACCAATCAATTGGAAGTTTTTTTATTTGGAATTTTTGTCTTTAATACTATCTAATGGATGGTAAAACAATGCTTTCTTTTACTTACATGACCATTCAAGCAAACAATCCTTTCTTTTAAAAGTCTGGAAAAAATATCATAAGAACGCTCTCCTCTTGTCTAATAGTAGCATTAATAATCATTAATAATCATTCGAGAATTATTTCCACAATTGATAAGGAAAAATCAATACCGTTTGTTCAACAACAAATGGAATTAAAGCTTGACCTCTTATTGGGATTTCGTTATTTAATGTATAATATTGTCCAAAATCACGTCGCTAAACATGTAAAACTTTGAGTAACTAACTGAAAATAATACTTGGATAAAGATTTATTTATCAAATTTATGTTACTTTGTTAATAGAATGCTTAGTCAAATTATTTAAAACTTGATAATTTCTAAAAAATCGTGTGGTAAGTAATGGTGAAGTCCTACAATAATACATTATTGATTTTTCTGAAGAAATTTTTTGATCAGCATTATATCGATCATCGAAATTATATGGGGCATATTGCAATGTGACGAATTGATCAAATATGAAAAATATAAATTTGATAAATTATGAACTTCAGTTTGAGGTAAGAGGCGAAAAGTGTAGTAATGATTTCAGCGAGAGGATTAAAGCAATAATTATATATATGTATGTACTTGTAATAAAATTATAAAATTCATATCTAACTGTAATAAGAAAAATCAATCTGGTTAAAAATGTAAATGGTGCGTTTATATTGTGAGAACGTGTCGAAGATAAGTATAGATATAAGATTATATACTACCAATTAAGTTTAATACTATTTTTAATAACAATTTACGTTTACCCAAAGTTTCGGGTTTAAACAATGGAAGGATTTGGTTCAACTCCAAAATCTATAACTTTATTTATGATTTTTTGAAAAGCTGTTTCTCTCACCAATATTTATTATTACTATTAACGTAGAGATATTTCTTTCCGGGCCATCTGGTGATGCTGGTTTTTTTTTGATTTTTGTGTATGATTTGTTATCGAGTTTTCTCTTATTACTATTTTTGATTTTCGTTTTGTGCAATGGGGCCAGGGAATGGCCTCCTCCCACAAACAACTCCCCCGCGACTAAGAATATTTCTGACGAATTGGTTGCTTCCATTTGATGTTGTATACGTATACGTTACCAGTAAATGAATTATATACTCTTTCTCTAATATGAAGTAACTTTGTTGGTCTTCTTTTTGTTTCGCCGATTCTTTACACGGAGAAGAGAAGAAACCAAACAGATGTGAAACTGATAGATCATGCATGTTAGGTTCTTCGTTCAAAGTTTTCAGATCCAAATTCGTTGTTTGAATGAATATGGCCTATTACTATGCAAAGCAAAAAAATACATTAATTGAAATAAACAATTATTGTTAAGAAAAGTTCCTTCAGGAATCTTCAAATCATTAACATGATTAGGTTTTCTTTTATCTCCTGGATAATTACTTCTTGATTATTTCTAAATGCCTTGAAGTTGATTTAACAAGTTCATCATTGTACTATTTTACTATAAGCAATGCCTGTATAGCCCTTATTTCCACTTACACCCTTGATAAATACAACTGAGGATATAATTGATGTCATTCTTGTAAAAAAAAGGCACTTTTTGAACGCAAACCATGAAGAGATCATCAATTAATTGATGATTCGCAAATCATATATTATTGATATATATATACTTCCTTGCTTTTTAGATGTAGGAATTATTGTTTCCGCAGCAAGGTTAAATTTAACCTAACCTAAAAATAATAACAAATTGTAAATGTTTAAAAATGGATTTTTTTTTATTTGTACAACCCAAAAAAGAACATTTTGAAACATTGATCACATGTAGCTCTAGAAAAATTGTCTAAACTTTTACTTAATTTAGAAATTTTAAATTGATGATACAAAAATAAATTCTTTAGTATCAGAATTGTGGGTAGTACGATTGTGGCGTTCTCATCACATAAATTATTTGTTCATTTTACGATTCCCATTTTGGAGGAATCAAAGGAATATTATTAATAAATTTAACGCATATAAGAAATATTTTTAGAATATAAAAAAAATTTTATAGATTAATTTACAAGTTCATTAATTATCATAATAATAAAGAGAAAATTTTCAGTTTTAATCTTTTTTCATTAATATTTATTTATTTATATTTTATTTGAGAAAATCAAGTTTCTCAATATTGATTATAACATAATTTTATTTATTTAAAGAGGTATGAATATAGATCTGAATTCACTTCCTCCAGAGTTTCAATCTAAATTGCTGGTTTTACAAAATGAGTTAGCTGAGGGTTACATCACGCAAAAAGGGTTTGAAAAATCAAGAAATGATATATTACAGGAGTATAGGCAACAATTATCTAGTTCTTTTCATGATGATCAATCATATTATGAAGAATTTGCTTCGACTTTGCCAATTCAAAATTTGCAAATATCTGGTCTAGATTCAAACGAAGCCGCATCTTTTGATGATAGTGATTATGAAAATGAAATTAATCAATCACAGTTTTCTTCTTCACCAAATGAATTTTATTCTGAACAATATTACCCTAGACAATCATCATCTCCGATACCACCGCCGCCTCCTGATATTTATTATAATAATGGTATTCAACAATACCAAGAACAACAACAATATTTAAATTCACCAAATCAACAACAACTACTGCTGCAGCGACAACAGCAACATCAACGACAACAACAACTATTATTGCAGCGACAACAGCAACAACAGTTCCAGCAACAGCAACAAAATCCAAGTTTTCAACAACAAAATCAACACAGACAGCCAATTAATAATAACAACAATAATAATCATCAATCCTTACCTCCAACTTCAAGTACACACAGTTTATCTCAACCTCAAAGAGCTGTAAGCGCTGATTTTGATAGGGCGAGAGCGCATAATCGCAATCTAAGTTCTGATTCAGCCAATTTACGTAGGAATGAATCTCAACAACTAAAACCCAGAGACTCTACAAGAGTAGTAACGTCTCTTTCAAAAATTTCCAAACCATCAAATAGTTCACCAATAAATCCCAATTCACAACAACAACAACAATATCAACTACAACCGCCTTTACAACAACAAAGACCACCACCATCATTACTACCACCACCACCGCCACCACAACAACAACCACCACTACAATCATCGCCCCCTTCCGCTTATTATCAGATACCACCACAAAATCATGCGCAAATTAATTATGGACCATCGCCATCAACACAACATCATCCGATGTCACAACGCCCACCACCACCACATATATATCAATCAACATTATATCCCAATAATGGTAATAATGGAGTTGGTCCAAAAATCATAAATAATCATCCTTTTGGACCTCCTATCAGGCCTACTATCCATCCGTCACGTCCACAAAGACAACCTTCCATTAGACCACCATCAGAAAATACAAATATTATTAGAACGCCATCATCTTATATTCCAAATACTGATATTATTAATAGAACTAAACCAGTCTATGAAAATCAATTTGACAGAACATTGAGTTTAACAGCAGGTAGAAATCATGTCACGGATGATAATGGCAGCATTAAAGATTTTACTAGAATTAATGATGAATTTGGTACGTAATTTTGGTTTTTTTTTTAGATTTTAAAATTAATTAATGTATATATTATTAATTTATTTTTTTTTAATTTATTTATTAGGAAGATTTGCAGACGATAATACATCAATTAGATCTAATCGATCAACTTTCATTGATTTTCAAAATGGAAATTCTAATAAATTTGATACAATGATTGGACCTGATGATAGACCTATTGGAAGAAGTAAAAAAACATTTTCTATTTTAATGATTTATGTATTAAAAAAAGGATTTTGGATAATTATTAAATTCATTTTGTTCTCACTTTATCATCTAGATGCGGGGGACAGAATGTCATTCTATAATAATAAGATATATTCAGGAATCTTGGATGCATTACCAAATCATGATCCAGAACTAGTAAAATTAGCAGGGCTACAATTCATGCCGTTTGAACAAAGAGAATTACATTTTGAAAACATTGATCCGCTTAATCCATTACAATCTTTGTCCGTCTTTACAGATATAGCATCTATTTTAAGATATAGAGGGCAATCGACACCTAATCAGACAGCATATATAGTTGTGGATTCAAAAGGCAGAGAGGTTGGTGATATGACATGGAAAAAGTTACATTTAAGAGCAGAAAAGTTGGCCCAGATCATCACAAGAGAAGGTGGATTGATGAAAGGTGATCGAGTAGCATTGATTTACCGTAAAACTGAAATTTTAGAATTCTTGGTGGCAATGTTTGGATGTTTTTTCGCTGGTGTTGTGGCCGTGCCAATTAATACCGTAGATGATTTTAAAGAATTGTTATTTATACTAGAGAGCACAAATACTAAATTAGCCTTAACAACAGAACAAGTTCATAAAGTTTTTACAAGGGATTTGCAAGCACAAAAAAAAGAATTGCCTGCATCAGTGTTATGGTGGAAAACCGACAATTTTGGAATACTAAGTTTGAAAAAAAATGAGGAATTAAATGAAATAAATTTGGCAGACTTGGCATATATCGAATACACCAAAAGCCCTAATAGTGAACTAAAAGGTGTAGCAATAAGCCATAGAACTATTATTTCACAATGTTCTGTAATGAGAGGTTCAGTCGTTGACAATATAATTAGAGATCAATTAATTGACAAAAGACAAATGCAACAACAAAATCCTTTGGGTGTATCATACGATAGTAATGCCTTAGGCATGGGAAAGTATGGACCTTTATATGATATTGTCTTAAGTTATTTAGAGCCTAGACAGCAGGTTGGAATATTATTAACTGCTTTTTGGGGAGTTTATTGTGGTAATATCACAATATTTTTGGCTAGCACAGGACCTGATGTACCCGGTCTTTGGACTAATTGTTTATCAAAATATAAAGGTAAATTAATTTTTTTGTTGAATTATTTTATAAATCGTTATAATATTAATTTATTTATTTTTACGATTTTTATTTTCTATTGTTGTCATTTAAAAGTTACAATTGCGTTGGCTGATTATCCAGGATTAATGCCAATGGTTAAATCATTTAAAACTGATCCATCCGCAACAATTAATTATAATAAAAAACAACCACTAGATTTAAGGGCATTGAGATTTTTATTTATCGATACATTAGTAATAAATGTTGAGAAAAATGATGACATAATAGAAAATTTTTTAAGTAGATTAGGTGTAAAAAATCCAGCTGATGTATTAACTCCATTAAGTAGTTTACCAGAACATGGTGGTATGGTATTATGTTTTGGAGACTTATTAGGTGTGCCTGGATTAGATGATAGAAATGAAGGTGAAAGAGGCGTAGTAGAATTTTTGTTAGATAGAGAAGAATTAAAATCTAACAAAATAATGGTTGTCGGTATGGGAGAAGAGCAATGCAGAAAACGAAGCGGAGATAAAACACTCATGAGAGTTGGTGCATTTGGATTTGTTATGCCTGAAGGTAAAGTTTTTTTTTTAAAAAAGTAATATATTTTTAAAAAAAAAAACTTCTTTTGGAATTATTAAATAACTTCATGTTTTATGCAGCCACGATAGCAATTGTGGACCCAGAAACGACTGCATTTTGCCTACCTAATACAGTCGGAGAATTATGGGTGGATTCGTCTTCATTATCAGGTGGTTTTTGGAATTTACCAAAACATACAGAATCGATATTTCATGCAAGACCAATATTTGTATCAAGTGAAACCAGTATACCAGAATATTTTGAACAAGAATTTTTAAGAACAGGGTTATTAGGAACATTAATCAATGGACAATTGGTGATATTTGGATTATATGAACAAAGAATTAGACAATTGGTTGAACCAGTACCAGAAGATAGTGTCAAGGTTCTAAGGGTTGTTAATCCTAATGGTACTGTTGATTCCGATGATGATGATGACGACGATGGTGCTGGTGGTGGTAATGATAATGATGATGATGGAAATAATGTTAAAGATTCTGAAGTAGTTAATAAATGGAAATTCCATTATACGCCGGATTTAGAAAATACTGTATTGAATAATATTGATGCTATAAGTGATTGGTAAGTGTATCAGGTTTATTATTATTATTATTATTATTATAAAAAAAGGAAATTTTTTCTTTGCTATTTATTATTAACTTTAATTATTCTTTATTATATATAGTGTTGTAATTGAGATATTTGCGAATGAACAAACTTTACCAGTATTATTAGGAGAATCATTATATTCATTAGATAAACTACCAAAAGTATCAGATGATGTTTATAATATATTGTTAGAAAATCATGGTGTAAAAATCTATTGTATAGGCATATGTCAACAAGGTTCTTTGCCTAGAACTTGGAAAAATGGAAAGCATTTAGTCAATCCATTATATTGTAAAAAATTTTACGAGCATGGAAAATTAAATTTTACATACATTAAAACAAATGTTCATGAGACCGTTTATAATTTGCCTGTGGGAGAAGATACTATGGCTGGAATTTGGGGCCCAAGTAAGTAGCAGAAAATGGTTTCTTTTTTAGATAAGAAAGTAAAACATCTATAATAAATGTATATTGAGTTTTTATTTCTATTTTTATTTTTATTTTTATTATTATTATATTGTTTGTGCAAAGATGCAATGGCAGCTAGACAGGAACAATTAAGCAGTAGTGCTTCACCTATCATCAAAAGACCACAAATAACAGGGATAGAACATACTGAAGAAGTTCTAGATGAAAGAACAGGATTAAATCTATTGAAATTCCGTAGCATAATTGATGTATTGTTATGGCGTACACTAATTTCACCAGATGAAACATCGTACAATGTATTAGATAATAAAGGTAAAGAAGGTAAACCTATATCATGGAAAAAATTAAATATAAAAATAGCAATGATAGCAAATTATTTACAAAAAAAAGGGTCAAAAGCTAATGATACCGTCATATTGATATATCCACACGGAATTGATTTTGTTTGTGCGGTATATGCATGTATGGTATTGGGTATTGTTAGTATACCAATACCACAAATAGAAATTTCTAGATTAAGTGAAGATATTCCGGCATTGTTTGGAATCATTGATGAATTCAAAGTTAGCAATATACTAGTTAACACAGACACAGAGAATATTTTAAAAAGCAAGACAGTTCAAAACTTTTTGAAAACAATGTCAACAACACCTAATAGTAGTACTGGTTCAACCAATAACAGAGATAGCGTTGGCATGAATTTTACAAGTAATGGAAAATTACCAGCCTTAATTAATACAACAAAAGCGCCAAAATACACAAAAACGCTTAAAGAATCTAATTATTTGTTACAAGAAGAATGGATAAATCCAAATCATACGGCGGTCATAATGTGTTATTTCAGTTCAGACCATGGAAAGTCGTGTGTTAGGTTGAACCATCAGAACTTACTGGCATTGTGTAAGGTACAAAAAGAAACTTGTAGATTGACCACTACAAGAGCTATAGTTAGCAGCGTCAGAAGTACATGCGGTATTGGATTTGTTCATACATTATTAATAGGAGTTTATCTTGGTAAGGCAGCGAGATTGAATTAATTGTCCTGCAATAACTAAATAAAATTATAAAAATATAAATCCCTCTTTTTTCCAAATTAGGATCACCAACTATAATAATTACACCAAATGATTACTCTGAAAATCCTTTAATCTGGTTTGAAACATTATCGAAATTTAAAAGTAAATAGTATATTTGTTTTCTTATTTCTTATTTTAAATCTTTGGTTAATAATAATAATAATAATAATAATAATAATAATAATAATAATAATAATAATAATAATAATAATAATAATAATAATAATGTTTTTATTATATAGTTAAAGACACTTATGCAACATTTCCAATGTTACAACATGCTATGAAGATTTTTGAAACCGTTGATTATAAAAGTTTTTCTTTACAACATTTGAAAAATTTAATGATACCGATTGATACAAGACCAAACGCTAATCTATGTAAGCTATATATTTCTATATACATAAATTTTCCAAATTTCCCTTTTTTTTTGTTCATCATTTCTAAATATTTAAATCTATTGATTACAATTTAGATAAAAAAATTGTTCGAACATTTTTGACGAATAGATTGGATGATGTATCAGTGAATTATATATATAGTCATGTGTCTAATCCAATGATAACAACAAGATCATACATGTGTGTTGAACCAATTGAATTGTATTTAGACTTAAAAAGTTTAAGACGTGGTATAGTAAGAGTGGTCAATCCTGCAGATGAGCCCTATGGAGTTTTACTGCATGATTCTGGAATGGTATTTATAAATTAAATTAACCGATTCTTAAAAAATTAAGGTGAAATAATAAAATATATATATTTTTTCTAGGTACCTGTTTCTACACAAGTAGCAATCGTACATCCAGAAACAAGAAGGCCGTGCCTATCAAATGAATTTGGTGAGATTTGGGTTTCATCGGATGCAAATGCTAAATCTGCATTGTTAAACAATGATCCATTGGAACATGAAAGATATAATGCAGTAATAGATGGTGGTGATCAACGTTTAAAATATTTAAGAACAGGAGATTTGGGATTTTTATATACAGTACATAGGCCTGTTGGTGAAGGCGGTGCATTAGTAGAATTTCAATGTTTGTTCTTTTTGGGACCAATAGCCGAGACAATCGAGGTTAATGGGTTAATGCATTTTCCTGTTGATGTTGAATTTACAGTTGAAAGATGTCATCAGCTTGTAAATCCTAGTTTAATAGTACCTGATGGATGGTATGTATAATTTTATCATTCATTTATTGGTAAAAAAAAAATCTCTTATTTTTATTTAAAAAAATTTTTTTTAACATTAATTTATTATTTCAAGTGTAATATTTCAAGCAAATGATGAAACAATTTGCGCGGTAGAAGTGAGATCAGTTGATGGATTATTGAATTTAATACCTTGTATAATAAATTCAATATTAGATGAACATCGATTTATAATTGACGTTGTAGCTTTTGTCAGTTCTAATAATATGCCTAGGTCAAGACTAGGTGAAAAGCAAAGAGCCAAAGTTAGAGCAGCTTGGTGGACTGGTAATTTGTATGTATCGATTGATCTCTAATGTATTTTTATAAAACATAATTAATTAAATATTGTTGATGGTAAAATTTAATAGGGCAACATTACATATTCATCATGTAAAACCATATACAACGTCGACAAACAATCCTCGAAGGAATTATGGTAATAACTTTTATAACCCACAACAACAGTTATACGCATCACGATCTACAACTTCATTGGCAACTATACCTGTGACATATCAAACAATGATAACAAACCCTTCAATATCAAATCCATCTCCACCGACACCGCCGACACCGCCCACATCGCAAACAAATCCAAGATATTCAGAAATAAGTAATTATGATATAAATTATAATAACAATGATAATGATAGTACTAGGCATTCTCCTGTTGGTCAAACATAAAAGAGTTGATAAAACACAGTCAATTGAATTGTAAATTAATTGATACGAAAAGCGTTTGAACATTTTAACACTTTTATTTACTTGTTCTTTTATAATCAAATACTATTTATTTATTTTTTTTCATACATCATATCATCATTTTATTATTTAATACTAAAAAAATTTTTTTTGTAATATTATGCATTAAATAAATATTTTATTCGAAAAATTATATGTATATTCATTCAATAATTTATTTATTCAATCAAATCGTTTGTTTAATAATTCAATAAATTAGTATTTTCTATTATTATTATTATTATTATTACTATTTTTATTTATTAATTTATTTTATTAAATATAAAATATGTTAAATAACAACTTCTTTGCTTTGTTCCATTTCTTTTTCTTGCTGTTGAAATAAGACCTTTTCAATTTTGTCAGATTTGATGACTCCTTGATCAAAATTTGGAGGTTTAGGAATAAGACCTAAAATTCAATAATATATTTATGCATAAATATATTAATAATCCTCTTCCTTTTGTATATATTAAATCATGATTGTTATAATTATTATTACCTAAAGTCTCAAACATTTCTTGATCTGAATCAAATGCATTGTTTTCGGTTGTTAATAATTTGTCACCTGTGAAAATTGAATTTGCTCCTGCAAAAAAACATAAAGCCTAATATATATATGTGTGTGATGTGTAAGTTTTGATTTTTTAAAAAAAAAATTTATTCAATTATAAAATATTTTTTTTAAATACCTGTTCAGGATGCGAAAATCTTATTCTGCCTGCTGATAACCTTACCATTGATTTAGGCATTACAATACGAGCCGTAGATATCATACGAACCATTTCCCAAATAGAGACAGGCTAAATAAATATTAAGATAAATTTGATATATCAAAAACTTTCTTCATTCAGATATCATTATTGGGATTGAAACCCCTCTCCCATATTATTACCTCTTGTTTATCCAATGGTGTTCCCTCAACTTGTACTAACGCGTTGATCGGTACACTCTCAGGATGTTCGGGTAAAGTGGCCAGGGTGTGTAGCATTCCTACACGGTCATCAGCAGTTTCACCTAAACCAATTATACCACCTGAACATACTGATATTCCCGCATCACGAACATTAGCAATAGTTTGTAATCTTTCGTCATATGACCTTGTTGTAATGATCTATTAGCATTTATAATGACGGTTAAATTGGTTCAATCAAATAGCGTAAATACAAAATAATAAAATAATCGATTAAAAAACCTTGGGGTAATATTCTCTAGAAGTGTCCAAATTATGATTATAAGCAGTTAGTCCTGCTTCTTTTAGTGCTTTTGCTTGTTGATCATTTAACATTCCTAATGTGCAACAAACTTCCATTCCCATAGATCTAATAAATTAATTAAAAAAATTTATATTAAAATTGTATTCGAGTGAGTTGTCCATATATAATATTATCAATTCAATATACCTTATTTCTTGCACATAACCCAAAATTTTGTTGAAATTTGTTTTTCTGCCATTCAAATCTCTCCAAGCTGCACCCATACAAAATCTATATATTTATATATATCAAAAATTTAAATTTACTTTTTTATTAAAAAATAAAAAAATAAGTGTGGTAATCTTCTAACCTAGTACTACCAGCTTCCTTGGCCTTTCTAGCAGACACTAATACTTCGTCGGCATCCAACAATTTTGTCGCTTTCACTTGAGTTTTATATTTTGATGATTGCGGACAATAAGAACAATCCTCACTACATCCGCCAGTTTTTATGCTTAATAATGTACATTGTTGTACGGCCAACGGATCGAAATGTTCTCTATGCACCTTTGCCTAATTTTTTTTTATTTTTTTTTTAAATTTATTGTTTCTAGTAAAATGAAAAAATTGATATATATAATAATGATACTGACGCCATAAAACAAAAGATCCATTATAGGTGAATCAAAAATCGATTTGATATCGTCTTTGGCCCAATTATTTCTAATTCTTCCATCGGCATATGAAGCAGCAGCAGATAATGGTCTTGAGGTCGTTGCATTACCTACAGAGGCCAATTTACATACATTTGTCACCGAATAATGTCTGACCTTTCTTGTTACGGTAATAGGTGATAAGGAATTCTTTGTTTTTAAAATTTGTTGAATAAATGCAGACATTTTTTATTTTTTTTAAAGGAAGTTTTTAGTTTTTGAGAAATTTCAAGTTCGGTCAAAAAAAAAATATAGGATTAATGTAATTTAAATATTAATTACATGAATGAGATTTTGTGTAATGTAACAGATAACGTTATCACATCTACGATTTATTATTAATAGTGTGTGTAATATAATAAAAATTCTATATTAGCCTAAATTATACAACGATAAACCAAATTTATTCACCAAAATTTTATCTCGCATCATCCTTTATCACTGGTATTATTACCGCCATCACAAAATCCTCACAACATATTAATTGCCGGTACCGATATATTTTTCATAATCATTTTCTAATTCTTTTAACCACAGTTCATCAATTTTCACTGTATCGGTTTTACTGCCAGCCGAGAATACACCATTTTGTTCCAATGAATTAATAATTGAGTAAATAGTTGTAGATGACATTTCTCGATTTAATTGTTTAGTATAATGATAATAATTTCGAGTTAATGTGTCTCGACTAATTTGTTTGATTGATATTAACCACATTGCCTTTATAAATTGGGTTTCGTCGTTTGTTAACGATTTCTTATTGCAATGTTCATCTATATACGAACTTGAGAAAATGATTTTTGGATCTATTCCTGGGATTTTATATCTCGTCGCTGCAGTTTGGTTAGATGTAATATCTTCAGGTAAATCCATAATGCTAGTGGCAACAGTGGTAATAGGAATTAAAACCCCTTTATCGAGGAATCTTTGAAATGCATCATTAGATGCTTTCATAAGATCTTCATAGTTCGGTTTAGTATACATCCATCTTTGGAATCGTGTTGCAAATGTTGTTATTATGTAATCTCTTTTATATCCCTAAAATAAATAAATAATAAAATACTGTTTAGAAAAAATAAATATCCACAGTTACAATCATAATAAATCATGTTGATATTTATCACCCTTCCCCTGATTAACTCGCGATCAAGGAGTTTGTTCAATTCAGCATCCTCTTCATTTATCGTCATTGGATGATTATTTTCATAATTTAAAAAAGTCTCGTTCAATTTATTCGCACGCAGATTCTCATAAATTTGTATTGAGGCAAAGGCATCTTCTGCCGCATATTTAATCAGACTTGGATTCAACTTTGGAGCATCAAAATTGTATCCCCTAAGTTTTGTTTTTGATTTGTCTAATTTCAGATCAGAAAACATGTCTGCTAATTTACGCAACGAACCCGCGACATAACCTTTTTCCTTGGCCAACGCATCCAAATTAAATATTCCATCACACTGAATACCATACGATCTTTCCAACCAATCATTATCACCACTCGCATTCACACCAACCTTTAATACTTTATCATCTTTTAAAAAATTGATAAGTGATTGTGGACGCTCTTTGCTATTTTTGCTTATTCGATATATTTGTATTAACAAACAAAAATCATGCGTGGCTATTTGTATCATTGATACTTTGTGTGGATCATCTTTTCGAAATATTGTTGTCTCTGTATCAAATCCAACGTACCCTGAATGCCATGGCTGATGTTCGTCCAATATTTTAAAACAATCTTCAACTAAAATAAATTTAAAATTGATTAATTGATCTGACCCATCGATGTGATGCGATATAATTTTCACCAAGTACAAATCGCATATTGTTAAATTACAAAAATGCAATGTGGTGTGTACACTGTACCAGCTTTTGTATTTGCTAATTGGTAAATAGCCGGTTGTTCAGATACCATTGGTATTTTTCCAAGTTTTAGTTTTCTAATTATGGCATTTGAATTTTGGTTTTCATACCTTATTGTTGTACTCAACGAATATATTTTAAACTTGCCATAATAACAATTTTTTAATTGAAACTTTTTTTGCGTTATTTTACTACGTTTAAGTCCTTGAAATAATAGTAATGATAATGATGATAAAGGTGATGATGAACTATGATAATATTTTTGCATGTTTTTATAAAAAGGATCTCTTTTTGACCTTTTTTCTATTTTTATCATATTTTTTTTTGTTACACACAATTTGGATAAAATCCAACCAATAAGAAAACAAAGATGAACAAAAATCATCGGTACAGTTAATAATAAGATCAAACAATTGAAGAGATAAAAGTAAGGAAGGACACCATTTATAAATATATTTCACTTGAAATTTGAAAATACGTGATAGCTTTTAAATTTTTATTTTTCATTGATTATTCCACAGTTTGTTTTTTTTTGCGGGTTATCCTGTTTCCTTCCTTACACCCTCCAGGAAAATCGTATTATCGTAAATAATGTTGGTTTGAGCTCATTAAAAAAAGGAATTTAGTATCACATGTTTTTATTACACTTTAAAAAAAAAAAATACTAACCTCTTACATTGAACTTATACTAATACTAAGTACAAGTCCTATGTGGACGGCCTAAAATAAGATGTCTCGGATGTAAGCCGCAACTTCACGGACGACTCTCGTTATTTTTCTGTAATATACTTCAAAATAGATTACGAGCTACATTTTCTATTAATTGTGGGTCTGCAAGGTGTACAACTAAAAATCTTTGAACCACCCGGATTCGACTTGATGACCAGGTCAACATTTGTCTTGCAGCTTAGAGTGGATGTTTCTAAACCGCATTTTTTTAACCATGTCTTGTGTTTTAAACTCGGGGAGCAAAACTACATGATGGTTTATCCTGCTGATCTTCGATGATCATTCATCCACAAGATTACGAATTTTATTGTGGATCCGGAGCATGCACCAACAGTGCTTATATATACCTCATACGCTTATTTGCTTGCTGTGATTTCACCTTTGATTCTATCATAATGCAAGCACAAGCGATGCATTCTACTAATATTCCCTTTCTAAGACTCCAAACGAATCGAATCGAGTCGAATTTTAAAGTGATTCGATTCGATTCGATTCGTGACTATTAATATTAATATTAATATTAATGGTTAAAGAAATTCTACATAATAATAAGTTACAGTTACACAATTCATTGTTTTAATTAAGTAATGTAACATAATGTTGATCAATAAATTTGTTTTTGCAATTATACGTACTAGTCCACAAAAAAAGTAAGGTTTTAGTTCCATATTTAGGTAAATTGTAGTACATAGTATGGTATCTATAGTTTATCGTTATGGAGAGATTTCTAATTTTGTTAATAAAAAAAAAAGTTTTCTATTTCCCTATTTGCAAAATTCCCTTTTAAGGATAATGTTTTTGATAATGGTCAGTGTAACATTAAAAAATTTATTTAAAAGATTGAATGCTCGTCGTGTCACTATTGCTTGCCAAAACTCGTATATAAATTTTTTTGCAGATTTCTGAAATCGTTTCCATATTTTAATCAGATCTGCAGTTTTTTTTATGGCATATTAGAGTCGTACGGCAGAGGTTTAATTTCTTATAAACTTGCAGAGAAAAAAGAAGAGAGGAGAGGTAGTTCATTTATATAGGTGATTTATAAGTTTGTGATCTGTGAAAACCTGTTTACTTTTTTCCATAGTCACAAATTTTAGAAATTGAATAAATAATTAACACGTATTAGAATGTCAGAAATTTCACATGTATCTAATTATTATTATCTATTTTTTCGTGTCATCAAAAACATCAAAATTTCAATTTTTTTAATAATTTTAATTGGCCGGAAATTACTTAACAACTAACTTTTGAACTAATTGTTATGAAAATTGACAATAAAACATAATTTTGGACCTTATGAGCATTTTTTTTATGGCAAGAAAACATGTCTTTGCATTGGTTTTAATGAAAAGTTCAACAATTTTAAGTTGCCAACCAACAAATGCACCTCAATTTGAGATCTACATTTATCCATTGATTCTTGATTCAGGTGCATGAAATTATGGCTGTGAACCATTATCCAATCAATCAACATGAGTATTTTCATGAAACAAAATCAGATCTTAATCTTTATTGTCATCCTCAAAATGATGATTCATTGTTGTTTGCTACTTGTTTAAAATAAAAATTGTAAACTTGCTGTGTCAACAATTATAAAATTCATGTAAATTTAGTTTTTGGCTTGACAATTAATCTGCTAATAATAATAAAGCCAATTTTATATATAGTGATACATAACATAATTCGTAAATTGTGAAATTCCTTTCAGCAATGGTGATTTACATGTTATTGCTATTGATGATACATTGATCGAATGAATAATTCTCATGTTAAAACCTACTTAAATAAATATATAAATAATTAGCAGTTGTTTAATGACAAACAGAGAATGGAAAAAATACTTGCCCGAAATAATTATACCATAATTTCAAGGTTTCGTCCACCAATATTATATATTCATTCATTAAGGCATAAGGAAATCTATTTATTATAGATTCAGGAAAATTCAAATTTATTTTTATGCACATTCATTCATTATCAACTCTATTTATTATAGGTTTGCTCAAAGACATAAGGAAATTCTCAATATATTTATTATAGATGCAGGAAATTCAAATTTATTTTCTCCAATAATTATTATTATTATACAGTTATATTTACAAGAAAATTCAAATTTATTTCCTCAAATAGTTCATTATTATTATATTTACATGTAAGAAAATTCAAATTTATTTTCTCAATAATTAATTGTCTTTTATATATTCATTTATTAACTATTTATTATAATTTCAATAACGTTAGAGCCTGCTATATGAAATTTATAATAATTATGATGTATATATGAACAAGACTTTAATAGGTTGCGGCGAGTTCGTGTAATCGTGGAATTTTTTCGGAATTTAAAAATTTAATACATCACGATTTAATTACATTCAATTTTTTACAAAGAATACTTTTTTTTACAGCGTTGTTAGTTTTTGTAACCCATCAATGCTCACAGCCTCCAATCTTTTATACTCTTCCAAAGCCGCCCTGGAAATTTTTAATTGAGAATAATCAAAATCAAGGATTTGCAGTTTTTCCAATGAGGGAGCTCGACTCATTGCAACATACACTTACCCTTCAGCAAACATACTTTCGTCAACATTCAACAT